CGCGTGCGTGTGCGCACGTGCGTGTGTGGTCCAGTGGTTTAAGGTCAACGCCTGGGGACAGTCATAGCGAAGACACAAGACCTTAAGGGGTGTCCGCATTGACAAAGGAATCGCTGTGGGCAGTCGGCCACAGGCACGACGCGTCAAGACAGCCTGCAAGGTTATGATGGCATTCGGTTAGGCTAGGCTCTTAACACATTTGACCTCGGCCGAGTTCTCAGCAGTATAACCGCCATTCGCGTCGCAGACAGATTCACTCAGTACAGGGAGCTTCCTACTGACATGGCGGATAATTTTGTGTTCGAGCGTCACCGACGTTTGGAGCGTGCTCCACGGAGGTCGCCATTGCAACATAATAGTTCTTTTGGTCATCCCTAGCCAAATTGGCGGCCATTTTCTGGAGTTGGCGGAAGGAATCGTCATTGTGGGCCCCTTCTCCAGCCGACAGAGCAGACAACTGCAAGGTTCTTCCGCTGATCTAGTCACTGTGGCGTCGCTGTGTGTAACCAAAACTTTTCTCAGCTGCCCCATATGAGCCTTGAATACTTGAAGAAAACCATCTCCATGACTGTATGTCATTAGTGAAGCGTGCCCAATATGCTATTCAGAGTGTCCTTGCTGGTAGTTTTAAATAATAATTTTTTAAATAAAAAAAAGCCCTCTGTAAGCCTTCAAACGTTTATAAATTCTGTGTATTTACTGTAACTGGTCTAGACCGACCAGCGTACTGCCTCCTCCATTCTTCACTTCCACTGTCTTTCCATTAAGAATATCTTGCCCATCCTGTGTCGAGCGACCACCTGGCTGCCAATGCCAATTCAGGCCCGAATATGCAAGGCCTGGTTCACGCACGTTAAGGAAGCATCTGCCTCTCCCACTGGCTCTTCTGCCACGATAGGCTGCGGCGTTGGGGCAGACGCCAGTCTAGTGGATCTCCAGAAGATCCTAATGCAGCAGATTACTCTCCGTTGTCTCACGCTTGACCCTGATTCTACACCCAACGACGACAAGCAAATCCGTGAGGCCGCTAAAGTCCTGCGGATAGTCTTCTTCTCCAGCCTTCTCGTGGGCGGCTTAGATTCACAGGAACAGCGTGAGCGAGAAGCCCGTGAAAACGCGGAATTGGAAACCCTTCTTCCGTCCCAGGGCACCCGGGTGCGTTTGACTTTTGCTTCTCTATTTTGTCATTGATGTCGCTGTTTGGGTAAACCTCAAACTTTGCAAATATTCCCATTTTACGATTGAGAATTCATGTTGGCAAACATATGTTTTCGGCAATTCATCATCGGGCCAGTACAATGCAAGGACAAAAATGGTCAGTTATAGGTGGTGTAGTTCTCAAATGATTCTCGGGGTATACCGTGCCGCAAAAACAGACACTGAGAACACCCCTTACACCCCCTTCCCTGCTTGCCGGACCCAACGCCACCAATAGGCGAGAATCCGCATGTGTGAGAGGAGGGAACACCATGATGACTAATTAAAACCACCACCGCCCCCTACCCCGAAAACCATTTAAGAACTACACCACCTATAACTGACCATTTTTATCCTTACATTGCACTGGCCCGATGATGAATTGCCGAAAACATATGTTTGCCAACATGAATTCTCAAACCGCAAACTGTTTTTCTTTTCGACTTTATTGTTGTCCCCACCCAATCCCCGCATCGCATGACTGACTGACGCGGTCGGTGGACGCGGGTGCCTGGGAGTGAGATCCACAGTGCGGAAGCTAGTCCCCCAGCGCCGCAGAACATTCCTCACTACAATAACTCTAACTCGATCGAATCCGTCACAGTGTCACCAAAGGCCGTAGCTTGGAAGGCTGCCAGCTGACGGGTTAACTCGATCCTCCTCTCAAAACGTAGAGTCAGGCCGCAGTGGCTCCTCTGTGGTATCCTCTTTCAGTTGGAATCTGAACTGTCCCGCTTTTTAGGAAATCCTGGTCCACTGTGTGCGGCACGCGTAGTTGGGCTGTTTGGCTTTTACAGCCACCGGTACAGGGGGATGCGGGAGAATAGGCTGCGGTAGATGCAGCGCAAGTCTACTACCTCTGTAGACTAATTCATGTGCGAGTCACCGTCTCTGGACAGCGTCAGAATCGACGGTCAAACTGTCATTGTTGTAATTAGGCACGGAGTTGATGGCCGAGGGAGTTCGCGTACTTTCTACTAAGACACTTGATTTTGAGAATTTTGAAACACCGGATCCCACTCTTCCTGTGCTCCCACACCAGACTTACTTGTATTAAAGCTCGTATAAATTGTGACTATTGCTGATAGAAGCGCTTAGACGAGTTCCAGGAAGCAGTTCAGAAGTAGAGAATGCGATCACTGGAACAAGAAGGGTTCAGGAAAGAATCCGAAACATCAGGCAAATAAACTTCTTGTTCCAGCGGTCGCATCTTCTACTTCTGAATTGTGACTATTTTTGTCAAATTTATTACTTATGAAAATTCTAAATGTTATTTGCCTTAGTGATTTAGAAAATAATGTTGATCATATGCTGCCCCGACGAGTCTCCAAATCATGTATTCTTTTCTGCGGATGACTTCAATGTCGTTGATCTTTCGCAACAGAACACCAACATAAACAATAGTACCATCTAATGCAGCCTTACCGAAATGGTCACCAAGTAGTTTTCCTATCAAACCTTTCGACTTGCAAGTTAAAGCAAGGACGTTTCCTTACATATTTCTAAAGAAACCTTCATATTTCGTGGTATATAATTGGTGATACTTGTTCTTGTGAAATTGAGACGCGTACTTTACCTCTTAGATGTCCATTCTGTTTCATTTTAGCACCCAAGACGTCAAATTAGACAGGACCCATTGGCCGTCAGTCTCGGCATTCATCCTAATGATTGCCGAAATCCCCTTATACCAGCCAGCGAATTTATCAATGAAACACTTAATGATGTGATCGATGTAAGTCTCCCACTAATTTATGTCATTTTATTCAACTATCCTTCATACCGTATTAAGGAATAAAATGTACAGCTCCTTTCAAAATTTGAAGACTTGACTAGAAAGTACTACTACTAAGTCGAACTTCACACAGTATTGAGTCGAATATCCGCATTCCATGCGCTTGCGTGTATAAAACGAAAAAGGCTGTTCGTTCACGGGAATCGTGGCTGTATTCATTTGAGCCTTCGAACTCTTACTGGAGTCTATTACCAGAGGTAAAAGCGGCAAGAGAACAAATAACCGTTATAGGGGTTGGGGCCCACTTAACCATCAGTAATGCCGGTCCGTCCACGTCAGAAGCAACACAAGTTGGGAATTAGTTAAAGCTTAGGCCTTCGATAAGAGTTCAGCCAATCGCTTTATCAAAGTGTAGCGCGCATACAGAGCCCTGCAGAGTCACCTCCAGACTGGCGTTACTAGACTTTGATTGCCCACTCTCATCTATACCCCTTGTTTTGTTGTCGCTTTCATGTTTTACAATGGACTCTAACAAGAGTCCGAAAGCATCGACTAATAAAGCCACAAATCCGACGACCGAACATTCTTCTTTATTTATTCACAAATTATTCCCATATTAACAAGAACGAATATTTTTAGGTCAAAGGACAAGATACACGAATTACTGCGGTGGACAGACTATTGGAACGTACTATCTCAGTTGCAGCGGGATTAATAGCTGTATTTTAGTCTTGATATCTCTCAGCTTTTATCGGTGTGGTATCATCTGTTAGACTCCACACCATTCGAATTATCCCTCGTAGTGGTTCTAAATGTGGCCATTGTTTTTTTTCATTTTCAAGTGCTCTCTTGCATCATGTTTTTTTGAAGGAGGAATCAGGCTTCCTTGGTGGACACTGTTGGACTTAGG